TATTTACAGTTTGTGGTAAAATGTAATGATTATTATGTTACTCATGTTACTTGTTTACATGCTTGTGCTCTTGATAATGGCTTGACTCTGGCGCGCACTTTAAATTATGTACATTTATATGTATTTATGTACAAAGAATGACTCGCACCGGCATTCGCATCACTTCATTCACTGAGTTCACTGTTTCATGCTCAGTATGCCTTATTTACAAGTAATTCATATTTTCGCTGTTTTACTATGATGTTAATTGAAATTTTCAATTTTTTTTTTTTCTATATAGACCACTTTTTTTTATCTAAATGTCCATAGCACTGTTTTGTCTTTATACACTGTTAAACACCCCAGACAATACTTTTCAGACTGATATAACATTTCACTCTGTGAGTTCAAAGCATAGCAATGTATGCCTTACATGTACGAGTCACACAATCACCATTTAACACTTCAAACTCTTTGAGCGCATATAAACATCATGACGATGTATCGAAACTACTTAGACACATTACCCTCTTCCATGCTATTATTGTCTTCTGGTCTCGCAACATACAAACTTGGATCTATTACCTTTGGAATAGGTTTAATCTCTGTTCCAAGCTCTTGTTCAATACGATGTAAGTTAAAACGGTCTTCGTATGTGATTAGGTTAATTGCTATACCTAAGTGACCAAATCGTCCTGATCGACCAATACGATGAAGGTATGTCTCTGCCATTTTTGGAAAGTCAAAATTGATTACGACGTTCACAGCTTGAACATCAATACCACGAGTAAACAGATCACTGCTCACCTACAGACAATACATTAATGCACAATTTCAAATTTTTCTATAAAATAAAATATTACAACTAAACTAATTTTTTTATTAAAGAAAAAGGAGACAATAAAGATTGGAACTAAACTAAAATATTGCAACTAAACTAATTTTTTTATTAAAGAAAAAGGAGACAATAAAAATTATATTTAATATAATAATTTATATACTTACCAAGTTTCTGCATAGTCCTGCTCGAAAATCGTGAAACACGCGATTTCGGTGTGCCTGCGCCATTTTCGCGTGTATATAATAACAGCAATATCCAAGATCTGTTATCTTTTTTGCAAGTAATTCAACACGTTGCGTTGAATTGCAGAATATTATACTTTGTGTTATTTGCAACTTAAAAAACAAAATGAATTAGGTAAAAATATTTAGGTAAAAATTAAATAACAGTTTATTTCAATAAATTTTCATATGAAATATATCATGTAAAAAAAAAAAAGAAAATAAGTTTACCTTGGAGAACAGTGTATTAAGACAATGAACTTTTTGTCGTTCTTGTACAAAGGCATAATATTGTGTTACACCTTTTAATGTGAGTTCTTCCATTAAATTGATCTCATATGGATCTCTTAAATGTTTTTCCATGAATTGCTTCACTGTCAGAGGAAAGGTGGCTGAATACAGCAGTATCTGACGTTCGTGTGGTAATCTAAATGTATACAAAAAAACTAGTACATGATATGTCTAAAATAGAAAAATACCATCAATTTATATAATTACAAATTAGAATATGTACCTAGAAATAACATGATCCAACATTCCTTTAAAATCTTGTGACAGAAGTTTGTCTGCTTCATCCAAAACTAGAGTTTTACAGTGATCCATATTTGCGACGTTCTTATCCATAAGATCAAGAATTCTTCCTGGTGTAGCTATTATTACTTGCACTAAAAACAAATTATGTCATAAGTAAAGTATTTTTAAAATTCAGTTTTTACAATTAGTTTTTATATTATATAAAAAGATGTTCAATACAAACCTGTCTGGTAAATCCTCATAATGTCATCACGTAAGTCTGTTCCTCCAGTAGTTACCATTACTTTTATGTCCATATGTTTTGCCAGTTCAATGCAAATTTGTGATGTTTGAAGAGCTAACTCTCTAGTGGGTACAAGTACTAATGCCTGAATCACATCTTTCCGTGGATCAACCTATAATATATTAATAACAACAATATTAAAGTTAATAAAATAAGTAGCATTTACTAAAAAGGAACATCCAATTTTAGTAAAAAAAATTAACAATGCTCAAGAAATTGATATTATGCAAACCTGTTCTAGCACTGGAATTGAATAGGCCCCAGTTTTGCCAGTTCCATTCTTTGCACGGGCCAAGATATCTTTACCAGATAATGCAATAGGGATACTGGCTTCTTGAATTGGGGAAGGCTTTTCCCAGCCTTTTTCAAAGATGCCCATTAATAATTCTCGTTTTAGGCAAAACTCCTCAAATTCATTGCCACGAGTATCAGTAACATCCTAAGAATTTATACAAAGATACATTTAACAATGATTTAAAAATAATTAGGAATAGATAAAACAATTAAATTTATAAAATTATATAAGCTCTTAATGAAAAAAATATATTTATAATAATATTAAAATGATTGTAATATATAACTTACACTAGTTTTAATTCGTTTGTCCTTTGGTGGAATTTTTAATTTGGCTTTCCAACCCACATCGTCCATTTTGTCTATTTCTGATTTGGTACTCAAACCAGAATTTAAGACATGATTGGAATTTATATGTGCTTCTGTCATCATTTTGGAAATGATGAAATATTATCTATTTGCTGAAAATATAAGTTCTTATTCTTTATACAAATGAAATATATTTATACAATAAAATTAATATATCTATAATATCTATTATAAACATTTTTTTAAACAGAGAGATAAATAGTATAATTTTATATAAATGAAATAAATTAATGATTCAACTATAATAGAATGAATAATAAACACTATTATGAAATTGCTTGAAGTTATACGAACAGTTATATGAACAGTTATATAGAACAAAGAGCAATATCAATAGAAGTGACCTGTTGAAAAGATCATAATAGGATGTAAACATCACAGGTATACGCATTAGAAGAGAACTAGTTTTTATGTATTTCAACCTTATAAGAAGGTTTAACAGTTCGATACCGATTATTGATATTGTTCAGAAAAACTTTAAATTTCAATTACATTTGGATATATTGATTTCACAACACCTAGATGTCCATTAAAATAGAAAACAAAATTATTACAAATTAAAATAAAATTAAATTTGCAAATTACAACTTAATCTAAAATGAAACTTTGAGAGATTACAATGCATTGCCCAAATTAATATAGGAATTAATATGTACTGCAATGATTGCAATGTATTTCATAATCTTTATATAACTTTTAAAGGAAACAGCAATTACAACATAGAAAATTGTTTATGAAATAAATTAAATAAAATTTCGCGAACAGACTATATGAAAAAAAGTCTATGAGGACAATTTATCTGGAAAGTCTGTCCAAGCAATATTTTCGAATATTACATGTACACGTATATCCAAGAAAAAACCGCTCCGTAATTAATATTAATCGCATATTATTTGAACAGTGTATTTTCAATATATTAATAAGACTGGCTCGAGTGGTCTGCGTTAACACATCGTGGTAATACCGTCAGACATACTTGTGAACAGGACGAAAAACAGAGTGTAGAGTATAAAAACCATCTGTACGAAGTCGATTTTCCTTTTTATGGAATAAGTCAGAAATCTCGTTCTATAAATGTATAGGGCCAAACGAAAAGTGAAATCCTCACAAATACGAGATCATTCGTTTAACAAAATTTCTCGAAGCGCAGAGCTACTTACCTTGAAATGGATGGATATCGATGCTGAGTTAAGCACTCGATTAGGAAACAACACGCCAAAATGGCCGTTCCAATGTCAAGTTTTCTTTGCAGTGCTTAACCGCCGCGTTCTTTCTTACGGAGCACTAACACGGATTACTTGCTCGAAAAGTGTATCGCGTAACACGCGGCACTATATTACGTTCTTTTCCGTTTGTAATATGAGACTAACGCACTGCGTCAAATGCGAGCGATAATTATTCTTCGTTGAACGTACACGACATGCGCCATGAAAGAGCAAAACCACTCAGATCAGAAACCGTTACGTTACTGCGCGCACTCTACCGATGACGGCGTCCAAATTTCGTACAAAGCTTTAAGGCGCATCCGTAAGTTGTGTATCTCGAGCTTGCTGGATCGACTAGTTTGTCATTGTTACCGTTGCCGTTTCCATGAGATTCAAATAAAATGAAAGTACATAATTACAGAATTACCAACTCTGAAATAGGATAAGACTTAAGGCAAGAGTCTGTACAAAATTTTGTACAAAATACAGCAGACAAAAGTCAAATTACTCAAGTCTTTATTTTGACGTATCCTATCCTTTTCATGATTCGAATACTTCTTTCGTTGACAATAAATATGACTATTGGCATTTTTAGACAAGAAACATAAAAACTTGCCTCAAAACGACTATTTTCACTGATTGGCATATTCACAAAAAAAGTGAAAGTTGATCATTTACAGTTATGTACATAAATGTGTATTTATGAAGTATATATACTGGAATAATGTGTATATATACCAGAATAACAATACTACAATATTTCAAATTTAATTTTCACAGTGTTAATATTAACGAGATATATTTAATATATTATATTACATATTTCTGTATACAAATATGTCCAAGAAATAAAATTTGTCTTCTAGCTACAATTCTGTTCTCTCCTTTGAGATATTCGATATTTTCTACAAGCTTCAGGGCAATGTCGTTCCAAATATCGTCTTTGCGAGAATGCTTTGAAACATTCTCCGCATCGCCATTGCCATTGATGGTGATTCCGTGTCCTTTGATGCGCACGTAAATTTGATCTACAAAATATGCACGTTAAATCATAGCGTCACTTTGTAAGACGATACGATTAATTTGATGAAATTGTTAATTTGTTAATTTGTTAAAAAATGAATAATTTGAATTGCACACGGATTACGTAATCAAGACTAGTATGGTTATTTTAATTCTTATAAATTTTTCGTTCTCGTAAAAATCTTTTTACTGTATTCGATATACGATATCCGAAAAATTTTCTTGTTACACGTAACTCGTGCTGATGTATCTAGCATAATATCGACAAATATTGAAACAGAAAAACATTATGTACCGATCGGCGAAGGATTTATGGCAAACTGGACACTCGAAAGGTCGTTCGCCAGTGTGAAGACGAAGATGACCCTTCAACACCCATGGACGATCGAAACTTTTGCGACAATACGGACAATAATGCATAGTTTTATTTCGTTTCCAATTCTGAGGGTTCTCGATCGCCGATGTTTTCATGTTACCACCTAAATACTGGTTTTGCGAATCAATCTGCTTCTTGTTTGGAGCAAGATACAATGTTTGCGATGTCGTTTGACTCTCCATTCCATCGAACGTTCTATTCAAATTTACTGCCACTTTGATTTCGTTGTTACTTACATTAATCGGGTACTCTGATTGTTTAGTACTTGGTGCCAACGGTATTTGCACTTTCTCCACTGTTTGCTCATTATTCGAGTCTATCGCTAGTTGGCTGGTATTCGCGGTCGATGCTATCGTATTTTCGAGTTCAGAGAAATTTCTCATACCTAATTCTACGTCGTCTACATGAAATTCTTTGTTCCACAATATATTGTTCTCTTTGTTAAACGTATACCGTGTTACAATTGGCAATCTCGAGGACATCCATATGTTGTTACATTTCATGGAATTATCTTTGGTCTGTTGTTTTCTTTTAGCATCAGCCGACGATGGCGGGGTCCATGGTAATTCTGCCTCTGTTAATACATAAAAAAAAAACTTTTGTACGCGATGTAATATACACTACTTAAATTGTTTAATTATTGTTAACAAATTTTTAGTAAAAAAAAATAAGACTTAAAATTCAAGGCAAAGAATGCCTTTAAACAACTTTACGATTCGTACGATATACATATTTATTTCTTTCTTTTTTTTCATAACCATACTTGTTAAACATACTGTAGCTTACTGTACAGGGATGAATTGTCTCTTACCTTCGGAAGAATCAGTCTTTCTGTACCTTGTCATCGATTTGATCAAACAGCGCGGCATGTTTTCACGAGAACGAACGAACACAACTCGACAAAAAGAACGAAATACAATAAAGTGTTGGACGTTGCAACAGCGATGGAGCAAACCACTGTCACACAGTTGACAGGCATTTGTTACTTTTCTGTATACTTTCAGTATTGTAATGTCGAAAGATTCACCCACAGCATATATGAGAAAAAAATGTGTTTCCAGTCGTTATTGATGGATCCTTTTTATCGTTATTGACGATCCATTCAGGATAGAAGGAAATGATAATAAAGAAATTATGAAACGATGTAATAGATTATATATTTTCTTGAAATATTTTTCTTATCTATTCTCTCTAATCATAGGGAAGAGTCATTGTTCATTATTTTTTTAAGATATTCGTAGAAATAATATTATAAAAATAACGATGCTATTATATAAATTATATAAATTGTGTAAATATTATATAAACGATACTATTATAAATATGTTATATGTGTTATAGAAATTAATTTTTTTTTTTATTCATTTTGCGTGTAGAAGTATTAATATTTACTTGTATAATTTATAATTCGTATTTCATGCTTGTATAAATAAGAATTTGTAAAAATGAAAATTTCGCATTTTTGTAAATGAAGGACGTTAATAAAGTGATGTGATAATGATGACAGTGAGAAAGTTGCTTATTATTGGAATAATTTTAACACAAATATTACTCGTTTCTAGTTTCGTAGAGGTCAGGTAAAGAATTGACGTACATATGTAATCGAATCAACGGTTTTGTATACATTTCTTATGACATCTATACCTTTATAATACTTTGTATACAAGTATCTCTTCGATCATGTGAAATTTACGATAATCAATAACTTTTAAACGAATAATCATTCTTAAAAGTATGATTCACATGTATTTATATATTATAAAAAATATCTTTGAAAAATTTATATATTTAAATATTCATTTATATCTGACTCTTCTGAGATTCCATTGTCATAATTATTAATTTTTTAATCAATTTATTAATTTAATATTAATCTTGGTGCACGTATGTAAAAAAGAAGTTACACATGTATGTATAAATCACATAATCATGTATTTAAAAATTTAATCTCATTCAAAATCTGAACAAAATTATAAATTGATGTCTATATTAATATATAGTGACCTACACAGATACAATCATAACAATATATGAACACAACCTCGGCTATATAATTTTGGTACGTTTCCTATAACGGTCTTTAGTGTTTAGATAACAGCCACAGTAGTAAGGAGAAGCCGAGAGTTTCGATACATGTCATTGAAACTCTATTAGAATAGTCCAAATAGAGATATTATTGACATATCTCAATTCTTCACATGTGTAGTGAAGGATTCTAGTAAGTATGTTCAATTAAAATATTTTATTTTTAATAATTTTCTATTAAAATATTTTATATCTAAGAATAATTAATTATTTCTATTTCTACGTTTTGTTAAAAACAATAATTTCATCAATTTTATAATACTCTCTTTATAAGGAATCAACGATAAATAGTATCTAATTTAGATTTAATCCCGTGATTTCTATTAAGGATTGATTTAATGAAAATAAATTTTTAAACAATTTCGTATTACATTTTACTTGATGAATTTTGTGTAATATGCTCAAAAACTACACTTCTCTATAAAACAAAAGGATTACTAAGTTATAGCAGAAAAACTGTTGATTCTTGAACTCCTGTAATTTCTGTAATATATCCTTGAACTTGGTTTTCTCTAGGATTCTTTTTTGTTATAAAACACAGTGGGAAACTGAAGTTACTTTTTTTCTTTTGAAATTTCAACAAATTCAAACTACTCAAAATACCGAACATTTTTTTCCATATTCGTTTCAATACCTTATAGAGGTAAGTCTTCTTTTTACTATGATCACTCTTCTCACGATTTTATTGTATTTTAAATGTATGGGGAAGATTTCACAATCAGATTTGAATCTTGTCTGTGATCAGTGCGTGCGTTCAGTGTGTTTATGACTATTGAGACTTCACCATCTTACCAATTTTTCACATTGTGGAACTGTAAAAAACAGTTAAAAGATAGAATAACTCTTTCGGTTATTCTAAAGTATAACTCTTCGTTTAAATAGTAAAACCGTTTGGGAACTTTTGAGCAATCATTGCAAAGGAGAAACTTGTTCCAATAGGATCATATTGAAATGAATATGGACAAAAAATTTTTAAACTTCGTACAGCAGTTTGAATTTGTTTTTCACTCTGTCCTATAATAAAAAGGAATCCTAAGGAAAACATTCAAGAACGTGAAAATAAAAACTTTATGGTTTAAAATGAGCAAATAGAATGTTTCCTTTTTTTTTTTCACAAAAATTACAGAAGCTCCAAAATTTTTTCGCTATATATATAATTTTTTTACTATAATTTAGTGATTTTTTAATTTTGAAGAATCTATCAGTGTATTAAAAATATTGATTAGTTTTTGTTTATTATTCATACTTTCAAGAATTTATATAAAAAACATAAGTAAAAAAAATATAATTCATGATACATGAGAAACATTGATGAGAAAGTGTCACAAAATGATTGACATTTAATGCTCGAATTCTGTCATAACACTTTATCAGCTTGCTTTCGTATTTATTACATTAACAAGAAATTAGATATTTCTTAACGATGATTAATGCCAGTAAAATTGACATGAATATAAATGTCAGATCAATAGAAAAATATAAGTATATAAAAGTGATAAACAAACATTTGTAAAATACATCAACATGTCGTTAATCATTCGTTATTTTTCCAATTCAAATAATTTTGAATACATTGATGAAGGTTTCTAAAACGATTGACTGAAATATGGTAATTTAAAATGGCAATTAATCAGGAAAAAAAATTATTTCAGATTATGTATCGCAAGTTGTTCGTGTTTGTTGTCATAACTGTCTTCAACTCGCGCGTCAGTACAACGAGTAAGTTTATATTTTCCAATTAGATTTAGCAATTGATTTTGATTACGTTGTAACTTGCATTTCCTTCTTCTTTTTCAATTTGTAGCTATACGTTGCGAACCACCGGATTATTTCTTATGCAACAACGGAAAATGCATTTCGTCTGCCTTCCGCTGCGATGGAGAAAGCGAATGCGGTGATGAATCTGATGAAGTGGACTGTAAAGGCTTCCAAGTATATACTCAGTCATAATTATCATTAAAACGATATTTGCCAACTTTTATGCATTTATGAAAAATGTGGAAGTGTAAAAAGACATACAGTGCAAACAATATGGAAAAATATAAGTAGAAATACTTAGTTAAATAATATAAAAATATTATAACACACCTAATACAGTACTATAATAATGTTATAATACTTACTTAAATAATATAAAAATATTATAATAGTGCTAATATAATACAGTACTTTAATAATACTATTATAGTACTATTATAATATTTACTTAAATAATATAAAAATATTATAATACTAAATATTATTATAATATAAAAATATTATAATAATAATTATAATACTCCTTAAAATATAATTTAATAGGTAATATAGTTTATAATAGGTATAGTATAGGCTATAGTATAGTTCAATATAGTTTAATAGGTAAAATAAAGTAATCGTTTACTTAGATTCCGCCTTTTACATTATCTTCATAAATTGCATAAATATCTGCAGCCTAATAATAACATATTGCTTATAATAACTAAAAGATTTCGTAGTTAAGTAAGTTAAAATCACTGGCAAGAAATTATAAAATATCCGATGTTTCGAATTATTCTTCCTATTAAGTTATTATATCAACCTTTCAAAAGCAAATATTGATCAGCTTCATAAATTGAAAAAGCATAGAAAAATGACGATAATATAAGGACTAATTTTTAAATTTAATGATAGTTGATAAGTTTTTGAATTTACCATTTTCACATGATAAAATGAAAATTTATGAATAGAATAAACCATTTATTTCTCGAAAATTCAATATTAATCCTGGATGAAAGTAAGAAATTACTTTTTATTAATGCTAAAGCTGATTAGTTTGGTTTCTCATATTTAACGGTGAAATAAAAGTATATGTTTAATATGTGATTAAATCTGTTCACTTGTTTCAGGTTGACTTCAAAATAAATCGTTGCGCTGTAGATGAGTTCCAATGCTCCGATCATTCTTGCATACCGATAGAAAACTTTTGCGACGCGAGAGCTGATTGTTCCGATGGAAGTGACGAGCATGATGACTGCGTGAAAAACGTAAGATTCCATTGAAATTTTTACTCTTTATCAAATAGCAGTTCTAATATAGCGTAGTAAGAGAATGAAAGTCGTTTTTCATAGAAACAAAACATGCCAAATTCTAAGTTTTCGAAGTGAAAACGTATATAGAGAAAATTCAATTGTACAAGCCAGTTAGACGAAATAAAATCAAATTCAATTGAATTCCGGCAATTCAGAAAATTCGTGTGGAAAACATCGAAACCGAAACAAATTCATTCAAGGAACAAAGAATTTTTGAATAACTGATTTTTATACTTCTAATGAATTTGGTCAGCATAACCAACTATCTGAGTTGTGATAATTCTAAAATCCAAGTGTTCATAACGCTGAATTTTCAAAATCGTTTGAATTTTCGTGAGAAATGACACCCATTTTCGATTTTTTAATAATTTAAAATTGAAAAAGTACAAAGTTTTGTGGCCTGAATACTATACTGAATACTATACTTGTCTCACTCACAAGCTGTAATCATTATATTTTTCTTTATATCTCTTCTCACCATATATATGTCGTACACATGTACATAAGAAGATACAATAAAAAGAAGAAAGAAAATTTATGCATCAATAACTCTAGAAATGTTACTTCAGGGGCACTAAGTTATTGAGGAAACAAACTATACATTTGTTGCGTGTTGTTTCACGTTGTTTGCGAGCGATCGCGTGTGTAACGAGAGCCGAATGCAAGAAACGTCCCAGACGTACTCGTAGACGTTGCGGAAGTAGGCTTGCAAATTGGCCGAACTAACAAAGATGTCTTGACTGCGTCGAGCACGTCGAAGTTGACCCTTGTACGAGGCCAACTTTCTTTGTGCCCTTCTTAATCACGTGATTGCAATAGGTTTCTTTTTGAACAAAATTGCACCGTTGGACAATGTTGTACTGTTAAGCAGGCTACCGTACTATTTGGATATTGCCTGGATAGTGTTTTCCTACGATAAAGAAAAATAAATAAGAACGAAAAGAAAAAGTAAATAAATACTTGGAAATGAACGAAAGATATTTTTCTTCAGAAAAGTATTCGATAGTATACATTTCATAAAAGTAAAAATTACATGAAAAATTTAATAAAAATTATTAGACCTGACAACAGGTGCAAATTAATGTATCGTTTTATAAAATTAAAGATAGCAACGAACACGATATTTGCATTTCTATAAAATGTTTGCTTTCTTTGTATCATTTAATATTTCAAGTCGATATCTCTAACGTCTTCAGGGTAAACAGCTTGTAACGCTTTATCTAATATACCCTGTGTAATAATGGATAATTTCTGTGCCAATACCTCGAAAATAAGAAAGTGTGCACATTTTCGAATTATAACATGAATTACAAGTAAATATCAATACAATGAGAAGTTAATCAATATTACAAATTGGAAGTATTAGAAATATTACTTTTATCTTTTTATATACGATGCAAATATTATTGCATTATCATTGTATCCGTAATTAATCAGTTATTTTATTTTATATTATTTTTATTTTGAGCGAATAAGATATATTTTTTTCTTTTTTTGCAATTCGAAAACAAGACTGTTATAATTTAGATATTATATAAATTACAAATATTTTGTAACTAATATATTTTTCAATTAATACAGTTGCAATGCGATAGATTCAAATGTAAAGATGGTCATTGCATAAGAAACGAATGGGTTTGCGATGGTGTTCCAGATTGTCCAGATAAAAGTGACGAAGAAAAATGCGGTATTTTTTTTTTTTTTTTTTTTCACTAAATTACACTTTAACGTTAAATAGGTTTTACAAGTCTTAAAATATTGCAATTTCATATTCTACAGAGAACAGTATGATACCAATCGATAAATGTAACAACGAATACGATCGATATCTGTGCAATAATAAAAGATGCATTTTTCTAAATGCAACGTGCAACGAGAAAGATGACTGTGGTGATAACTCGGAAGAAAATGCAGATGCATGCAAGAAGGGTAAGTGTAGAAAATATATTATATCGATTCAATAATGCAAAGTTTCTTTGGTAATTTTCATGATTATTACAATAACGGATTTTAATTGCTTCAAATTGTTACAGCTGATGCAGCATGCAAAGAAGCAAAATGTCAACATAACTGCAGAAAAACACCTGTTGGTGCTCAATGCTCGTGTCGATCGGGTTACAAGTTGGTGAACAATCAGACTTGCGAGGGTAAAACCTGAAAAATGCAATATACTTTCCTTCTCGAATTACAATTTGAATATAGATATAAATATTAATCGTCGAAGTTATTTTTTAATCGTATGTACTATTTTCTTTTTTCTTTATAGACGTGAATGAGTGCGATAATTACGGAACCTGTGATCAAAAATGTATCAACAACGCTGGATCCTACACTTGTTTGTGTCAGTCTGGTTATAATCTGGACGATGATAAAAAAACTTGTAAAGTCGAAGGTAAATTTCTTTTCAAATTCGTGCAAGCAATTAATGAATTTTACATCTTATAAATAAAAATATTATAAAAGAAGAAAATAAAAATTTTGAAAGATAGATAGTTTGAAAAAATAGAAAGTTTCATATTTTTGTACTTTATTAACCATTTAGTTATTTCACTACATTAAGAGGAGCTTAACTTTTAATAATGTCTATTTCTGATTAATGTTTCTTTCTATTGTTTATCCATAGGCGGCGAAGCTGAAATGGTGTTCTCAATTAAATCTGAAATCCATGGTGTTTATCTTAGTTCCGAAATATATTATCCCATAACACGGAATTTGCAACATGCCGTGGCTGTTTCCTTGGACGCGAATTACATATATTGGTCCGACATCGAGAATGGAAATGAAGCAATAATCAAAAGTTCGCTGGATGGTACACAACGAGAAATCATTGTTACAACAGGTGAAATTCAAATTAATTCGACACTATATTTCTACTATATTAACTATATACTTTATTAAAATTTACTTTATTATAACTTTACTATAAAAATAATTTGTTACAAATATATAACTTTAGTATAAAAATAATTTATTACAAATATATAACTTTACTATATTTATATAACTTTACTATAAAAATAATTTATTAGAAATATATAACTTTAGTATAAAAATAATTTATTACAAATATATAACTTTACTATATTTATATAACTACTATAAAAATAATTTATTATAAATATATAACTTTAGTATAAAAATAATTTATTACAAATATATAACTTTACTATAAAAATAATTTATTACAAATATATAACTTTACTATATTTAAAAATAATTTATTACAAATATATAACTTTATTATATTTATACAACTTTACTATAAAAATAATTTATTACAAATATATAACTTTACTATTTATATAACTTTACTATAAAAATAATTTATTACAAAAGTTTAATTTTACTTTATTACAAAACTTTAGATATTTAGTCAGATTCGTATGTGAAAATATAACATATTTTCTTTGATTCTTAAAATTTTATACGTTCCTTTAAGGTTTAAACAATCCCGATGATATGGCAGTAGATTGGGTAACAGGCAACATATATTTCACGGACAGTGGTTACATGCACATCGGAGTTTGCAGCAATGATGGTTCTTATTGCACTGTTATAATAGAAGAACCGAACGATAAACCGCGAAGTCTTGCTTTATTGCCATCCAATGGGTGCGTACGTTCAAATATAAAAACTAATAATATTATTCAAATATAAAAACAATTGGAATTCAGTATCATCTTCTCTCAATATTGAAATTAAAAAGAAATACTTCAATCTCTCCAAATATCTCTTTTATCTTTTTAAAGATAGGGCTACTGTGAAATTTTATACTTTTATTTTTATAAGATTACCAATGTTTTATAGAATTTACCATATTTTATACTTTTAATAACGAATGATTTAGAAACTAAGTTCAAGATTAATAATAAAATTATGCGTTCTTGTAGTATAATGTACTGGTCCAAATGGGGCGTGAATTCGTGCATATTAAAGGCGGGAATGGATGGCAAAAATAATACCGTGTTGATCAACGAAAACTTAGAGTTGCCAAATAGTTTGGCTATTGATTACGCAAATAACAGATTATATTGGATAGATACTAAACTGAAAATAATCGAATCGGCACGACTAGATGGTACAAATCGAAGGGTATATTTCATTTCTTTCTTTTTTTTTTTTTTTTTTTT